GGCACGGCGCCACCGCCGTGCTCCGACAACAGTTCGCCTCGGCCAAGCCGGTTTTACATGTATCCGTACCAAAAAATATGTTAGGAGATTTTGATTAGCTAGAAAATCAAAAGAAATCGAAGCTACCGACTAAAGGGTTCTCCAGGTGCGATGACTCTGCTGGTTCTCCTTCGCGGCTAGGGTTTCTCCTTCGACTAATCTACGCATAAAAAGATGGTGAACACAATTGTTGAAAAATTGTGTAAAACGGAAAACGAGAAGGTGCTCATCGGAGGAGTTTTAGGGTTTCAGCTACGGTGGCTCCGTTGGATTTTGCTCGCAATTTTCGGCTTAGCCACCGTCCCTTTTTACTCCGATATGGCCATAGGAAATCTCGGAATCGAATTCCGAGCGGGAAGGAGAAAATTTTATCTTTTTTTGCAGTCGACAGTGGTTCCGGTGCGGCAACAGCCAAGGATCGGTCTCTTTTTTCAGCGGCTAATTCTTTTTCTCTGACGAGGGCAGGTGCAACTAGGATTAGGGTTCTCCTGTGACGCGATATTTAAATACCTATCCCACATCGATCTGGGTCATTCGTTCATGTTGACATGGAGCAAGGAAAGTTGTCCGATTGTTGCCTGTTTTGGCCGATTACGTGGGTGAAACTAGACCGTTCATTGTGATTGATCTCGTTCGTCCGATCGCGCCTAAAGAAGGAATGCATCTGAGCCGTCTATGTGCGTGGGACGTGATCGAGATCATCGAATCGTCAAACACGCAAATCGTCCGCGTGGCCTCTCGCGTGGTGCCGATGTCAGCATGTTTTGCCACGCGGCATGCTCTTAACTTATCGTGCTGCTGACGTGGCTGTATTTTTAAAAATTATATTTTTACCTAGTTTTCTAGATTTCTTTTCAAACACCCCCCTTATTTACAGTTTTACCTATTTTTTCGAAATTGATTTCAAACTCATCCCCAAATCTATATTTTCCAAAAATTTCATAAGAATAATAATAAAATTATTTTTAATACCTTTTTTTTTCATTAATATCAAATTATCACGAGCCAAATTTTGGCTCCAAGTGTTACAAAAGATGTCAATGACTTAGAAAAGTATAAGTAGGTTATTTTTTATAGATTAATAAACTTAGTGATTTCGTATAAAGACGGGGGAATATGGAAGGTTTAATCATATATGGTTAGTACCGCAACTGGATAGGTCGATCCTCTCCTCCCTTTTATTTTAGCAACTTATCCTAAAGTCTCATTGTCAAGAGCTCCCCAGCGACTGCAGAAGCAACCCTAAAGCAGTGGCAAAATGACTTTATTCTTTCATAATGAACCTGGACGATTATCCTATACTCAGTAGTTTACAAGTTTATGTCCATCCCTAATTGGGTACAATTTTCTTTTAGGAGTTTTGATCCATTACTAAATGAAGGTCTTAATTTTATAATCGATTTCATTCTTAGTCTTAGTAGCACTGAGTACTTGCCCTATTACCATATTAATTTCGTCTTCAAGTTCAGAACCCCAAGAAGGCTTTTTCCCGAGCTATCACAGAGATATGTATATAGAAATCTAAATCATCTTACAAAAAAAAAAGATTTTCTTATGTTAGGCCCTTATAATTTGTATTGTGATGCTTGGGTATTCACATTATTATAATGTCATGTTAAGTGTCATAAATAATTGTTTTTTTTTTTTTGTACCTCTTTTGGAGGAAGATTTCCAATGTTGAACCAGAGCCTTTGATCAATCCATTTGGTTCTTGGTTGAGTTTGTCTTTCTTGAATATCTAAAGATACTTTGAGTTTTTTATATATGATCTATATGGTTAGATCAAAATAATAAGGTACTTAAATAAAAGTTACTAGCTCTCAGTGATTTTGTTGACATCATTATTAGTATACTAGGTTGATAGATTTTGCTATATTTCTTGGTTTATCTAGCTTCTTGCTAATGGTCTTTTTTATGTTCATCCTTGATGTGGAAGTTAGAAAAAAAAATGGTCTTTTATTCACCATTTTAACTCATTGGTTCCTTCATTATTCTTATAATGTAACATTGATGACTCTTCAAAGTGAAAAGAGTATAGAAACATGGAGGGATGTTGTAAAATAATGGTTACAAAATGAGATGTATATTTTCTTGTACTATGGGTTTATTGGTCTCTAACAAAGCTAAACTCTTTAGAATAAAGGCTTAATGCAAATTCTTGCGCGGAGGGGAGTAGACATCTAATCAAGAGTGACGCTTAAGTAATCTTGGATCTTAGGTGATGATTTCCCCCATAAACTGATAAATGTGATTAATGAGAATTTCAATTTCGTTTCAAGAAATTGATTTATTTGGTGTCACGAGCTATATGAATATTTTTGAAAATTCTAAGTTAAAAGGAGTGGTGGTATACTAATCGAGACTACTATTTATCATTACGTAGCTATTGAGATCTTATAAATTATGAACTAAGAAATGAATCGTTAATTCAGAAGATATGTTTTATATATATATATATATATATATATATTACAAATTTCAGTAAGTATTGTAATGCTTAATCATAATAACCTAATTTGCCACTATCGAGCTCCATTTTTTTAATGGATTAAATTATTATCATTATTTTGTCATAAAAAGTTTCAGGTACAACAAAAATAATTCCTTACTTTCTTAATTTAGGAGTTGATTTTCTAAACTACCTAATGGGTTATATTAGTAATTTTGACTTAATAATAGTTAAAACATGTCAAAATGACATCTTCATTTAGAAAATCCTTCTCCTTCACTCCATTCAAAGTTTCCACAAATTAGCACACACACACACTATATATACACACACACAACCCCCACAAGTATATAGCATATA